GGTAAAAATATTTTTTGATCAGGAAAGTTGAACTTAAGGGCAACTGTTTGACAAAGTTTCATGATAGATTATTATGTAACTTGCCAGAAGTTTTATATAATGCTTTGTCATTAATAAGATTGATTATGTAAATTCATTGTTTTGATTGGATCTTTACAAATTTAGGGTCACAAAAATTTGGGGTACTTTGTAAATTGGCTGATATGATAAGTCTAACGATGAATCACTTGATTTATATTTTTTGTAACTTCATAAACTTACAAAATTTTACAAAATTTAAATAGATTAATAATTTTTTTAAATAAATCAATAGCAGGATACAAACTTGCAAAGCATTTTTCAATACTATGAAATAATTCGAAACTTTTTGTATTTTTTTTTTTTTTTTTTCTAAGGCTTATTCAAAAATATAGTATGATAAAAACTTGTAAACTATTTTTTCAATACCATAAAATAATTTGAAACTCTTTGCACTTTTTTTCTTAGACTCATTCAAAAATATAGCTATAAACAATGATCACTTAATTTATATTTTTTATAACTTCATGAACTTACAAAATTTTACAAAAATTTAAATAAATTAAGTGGAAAATTGTGACTAAAGGGTATAAAATGATCGACATTTAATAGTAAAATACGGCGAGTATCTATTATTAAAATTTCTTATTAGCTTAAATAGCAAAAGATTCTCAATGTAAAATGTCATGAAACAGAAAATATATAACACAACTTGTAAACAAAGAACAAATAGACCCAAATTTACATTATGGAATATATTCATGGGACTGGTGAAATAAAAATATAAAATTACAAATAATAGCACTTTAAATCTTCCTTTTTGTCTTCATGTAAGTGTAATAACTAAAATAAATGATTACAATTTTGTTTTATCTATTGTTGACAAACTTTCAAACCCATTACAACCGGGCTTTTTATGTTCAGTTGGAGAAAAATTTATTAATATACAAGATACACCTTCAGCAGCTATTAATCTAATGTATCAAGAAGTTATTGGAGTTCAAACTAAAACTGGACATTCAGGACTAGCAGTTTTGAGATTTTATAATGAAGAAATTGTTTCAAAATTAATTGCTGATATATCGTTCTATCCATTATATATACAGATTGGTAAATTTTCTATAATAATTTCAAAAATTGGGCATTCTTCTCAAGAAAATCTTTTTTATGCTAGACCTGGTTACACATCATCTTTAATAACACGCTGTGGATTTGAAACATACCTTATCTTGCAGCAAATATTAGAATATCATCAGTGTAGTTTACAGGTTTTTAAGGAAAGAAATCAATTATATCAATATATTGGCGAAACACCAGATATCATATGGAAAAAATATGGTTTACACCAAAATAAAGATCATTATGCACTTTTTAGATTAAAGGATCCACAAGTTCAAGCATTGTTAACAAATAGCAAAGAAAATATAACACCTACAACATGTATATCACTTCATTGGAACAACGAATCAATTCTGCAGCAAAATTTTAACTTACATATTAAACGTAGAAAAATTCCAGCTTCTAATGACAATTGGCAAGTTCTTTTTACTCAATGGGTTATGCAAAAAAGCTCAATAGTTCAGATGCCGCATGTTCTAAATAGTATATACCCACCTAATTATACATTCCAACACAAAGAATTATCAGCTTAGTGTACTATGTTTCGAGCATGTGGATATACAGATATTACACCATATCCAAAGAAAGAATAAATATTGAATTTTGAACATGTGCATTAAATCCAGAAGCAGATCAACAAACTTTTAAAAATTTATATCAATGGAAATTATTGCAAATACAGAGTTCTTCATACACTAATATTGATACAAAATAGCAATTTTGGAATAGTTTTCATCAAGCATTAGATGCTAGCAAAAGAGGGAATAAAGGAAAAATTTGAATACTTTCGATTATTGCACTTGACTTTAGTTATCAAGATCTTCAAAACGAATTAGGAGTAAGGCATTAAACGTTTTGTTTTTTATTAAAATATATTATTAATACAAAACTATTTATTAATAAATATAGATAACATTAAAAACTTTATACAAAGCAAGAAAACACGCACGTCTTTATGGCCCTGGTTCTCCACCAATCGAAATACCAAAAAAAAAAATTTAAATGATAGCTGAATTTAAAAAAAAACAGTTCGAATTATTTTTTTTAAACAAAAATAACATAACAATGAGTTCTTACAAGACAGATCCCAAAACTAATTTGCTCATTCTTTATTTTTGTAATAACAAAACTGAGCTTTGGAAAAAGTTTTAACAAACATTTCCAAATGGGATGAAAAAAACCTCCTTCATGGGTCGAATTAAAAGTTGTACACATTTAAAGTATCGAGACGATTTGGGTGATCTTTGTGTAATCTGTAATAAATACAGGTTTGGCTCATTCGAACATTTAATAGGAATTGTACGAAATACATTCTCCGACAGAATAGTATTGGTATATTAGATCACTTTTTTTTTTCTTTTGTTATTATCATCCCAATTTATTCTCTCATTGCAATGTTTTTCGTTGCAATTTTTTTATTGCACTAGTTTTTTTATTTTGCAACATTCTTTGTTGCAATTTTTTTTTATTGCAATATTTTTTTTTTGTAATTTTTTTATTGAAATTTTTTTTTTTGCAACATTTTTTGTTGTGATTTTTTTACTGCAATGTTTTTTGTTGCAATTTTTTTTTTTATTGCAACGTTTTTGTTTTTTGTGCAATATAATTTTTATGATTTTATTGTAAAAATTTTTTTATTATATAATATTTTATTTTTAAATTACAATAAATATTATTAGAACGAAACACTTTCGCAAATTGAGCACTTGCGACGTCATCTTAAAAGAGACTTTGAGTGAGAATTAATGATATTACCTGATGGAGCGATATTGCATGATCCTTGTATCGATCATTGCCTACTATATGCCTTTAGAGAATGTTCAGTTTCACATAATTCAAGATGTTCAAAGTGTAAACAGTTCCATAGGTTTTTTGATCAAATAGAAAAACGTGTAGCTAATAGATACAAAACGCAGTTGCATGAAATTGGAGAAAGGTTGAAACATTACCTAGGTCACCAAGCAAGGAAAGTATATCTCAACGCACAATTTAATTCAACACTAGCTCAATTAGATTCTGATAGCGCTTTGATTGTTGCGGACTATAAGATGAGAATTCTTCCAAAGTCTGTCTGTGAAACTAAGAAAGAGTTTTTTGGCAAGAGAGGTTGGACGTTGCATACCATTCTAATTTTCAGAAAAATGGAAAATTGTTATAGGTTAGATATTCGGGCATTTGATCATTGGTCTACCGACACAAAACAAGATGCTTGGTTCACTGCTTCCTCGTTTGAAGCAGTATTTGAATCACTAGAGCAAAAACCAAAATGAATAACGATCGTTTCCAATAACGGCGCACATTATCATAATTCAGAGCTAATGACTATTGTTGCTTATTGGTATACTTGGTACTCAATTAGAGTCAATCGATAGTTGTTTCTGGAGCTAGGAGAGGCTAAAACCACCATTGATTCCCATCATGCAAATGTGAAATTTCCTTTTTTCTTTATTACTAAGTTCATATTTTCAAAGTTAATCAACTATTTAAATGTTTTTAATACCATGTCAGATTGCTTATAGTATTAGACGATACATACGAGTTGAATTTGACATCGTTGAAGGCGAGGATATAGTAAAAGCAGCAGAGGGATTGTCTGGAATGTTGTTGGCACAAATCACTATAAATCGTGATAATAGGAATAGTGAATCAGAGGTTAAAGATGCTGAATCAAATAGAAAAAAGAAAATTAGAAATTCAAGTAAAAAAAAACCAAAAATTAAAATGATTACAGGAATCTCGAAGTTTTACTGTTGGGAGTGGCCAATTGAAGGACCTTTAGCCGGATTTATTCGCACTAGGGGACTACTACATGCAGGCTCTTGGAAAAATTTTTCTCCAGTAGAAATCGCAAAATTAACTGAAGCGCCTATCATTCGTTCAAAGCTGATAGTCTCAGCACTTACAAAACCAATGTCTGATTGGACCATTCCAATCCTGATGATTCAAGGCATATAACATGCATAAAAAAAATAAAAAAAAGTATAATTTGATAATTTCAGTCCTAAATGAGGTAATTGTAATTTTACAAACTAATTACTATATAAAAAATTTCTTGTAAAACAGGAGTTACCAATTTTAATAGCATAGATGGTCATGGAGAAGGTTCTGAGATGGACGTTGAAGGTAGGAATTATCTCTAGTGTTTCTAATAAGAAGTCTCTGAACAATTTTCTTGTAAAAACAGAAGTTTCCAGTCTTAATGAGAATGATTATTAAGAAGATTTCGAAATGGACATAGAAGGTAGAAGTTAGTGTTATTCTACAATTTTAGGCTAAATAAATAACGGTTACTTGTATATTATTCATTTAGAAATCGCTGTTGGAAAGGACGAACAGCAGACATTCATTTCCAATAAAATTGGAGTTGAAATGGATGAACGAAGGGCATTCATTAATTTTCAGAAATCTTCTGAAATAGAAAATATCAATGGAATAGAAGTTGAAATAAACGAACATAATGCATTCGTTTATTGTCAAAAGTTAGCTGATATAGATAATTCTAGGGACGGGTTTGTAGAAATTATTAATTTATGTGGTTTTGAATTATTTTGCATTTAATTAACATGAACTTTTTAGGAGTATCGATGATGGATTTCAAATGCTTAAAGGTTGGGCATTCTCAGCTAATGCCAAATTTGATAAAAAGGGCGGGGCAAAAAAATTAAAAAAAAGGTTGTTGGTTTGTTAAAACAATTTTTTTTAAATGGAAACATAAATGCCAAAGACAAGTTAACGGCACAGGGAATGCATTTGGAACTTAAAAAGTTTGCACTATTCGGAGAGATCAACAATGACAACATTCCTCAAGTGTCTACCATTCACAACTGAATTGGAAGGTACTCAAAAGAATTTAATCAGCAAGGAACTATCATTGCACTTGAAACTTGCAAGAGCTTTTCATCAAATAGCGAAGATGAGTAAATATTTATTTCATTATCTTCTAGATATAAAATACCACATTTTAATTTTTGTTTTGTGCTTAAATCAGATCGGTCGATTGTTAATCAGCAAGTATCTAATAATAGGTTAGTATTGATGTTGAAAAGGAAATTCGGAAGGTTCTAATAAGTTGGCTGAAAAGATGAACATAACTGCATTTATTGTCATTAATAGTCTGAAATGAGACATATAAATGAAACATAAATATACTATGAAATTAATAAACTCAGGCTATGATTGTAAATTTCATAAATTGTATAAATGAAATGGGGCATTTCGAGATCTCAATTATTTAATAAGTACAATGGTACAGGCCCGACTTTAAACTAATCTTATGATATTAGAATTTGGGTTCTGTAATCTCTTTCTTAATGTATGCTATGTCTTAATCTAAGTCCACAGAATTCTTCATAAAGTGATTTTCTAAATAAGTATAATTGATAACCTGGTCTATTCTCTAAGGTGGTCAATTGTATTATTAAAACGTTATTAATAAATGTGATCAAATAAATTAGCATTCAAAATTAACTAATAATGAAAGATAGAACCAAGATTATATATCTATTTTCAGTTGAATGCCTAGAGCATAATTTTTTTTATTTTATTTTTTTGATAAGACATAATACAATGTATATTTTCTTAGTAGTAAAGTAAAACTGAATTGTTTACAATAGATATACATTGAAAGTAGTACATTATAAAATAAAATTAGGATGGATGTAGAGATCATGGTATTACTATGGTTTGTAAAAGAAAGAATTCGTTAAATCAAAGTCACTTCTATAACAAGAAAAAAAAGACAATACTAATGCTTACCTTAACCCTAAAAGTAAAAATTGCATTTTGCAAGTCTCTATTAATCGTATATACAGAACAAAACTTAGTATAATTTGCGTATGTCCGGTATCTGCTCTTAAATTATCTGAAAAATAACTTTATCGTACTGTCAATATATTGAATAGTGTTGGTTTGAGAATAAAATCAGCTTAGTCAACTGAACCCTGCTTCGGGTATCCAAAACCTGATTTCTAGATTAGCTATGTACTCCCTTAGATCAAGCCTGGCTATAGTACTAAATAATATTTGACATTCTCATGTGCCTAGCTAAATAGTTCAAGAAAAAAAAAGTAGATTTTTTAAGTATTTGAACATTGCAATTAATAAAAAATCCAACTTAATCTGGCCCGAATGCACATGTCTTACTAAGTAAACTTTTTAGTTTATATAGTAAACAAGAGATATATTTAAGCCTTTACTATTATTGGTTACGTTCTGTCGAATTCGAAGATTAAACATTGTTTTTTCTTAAATATAGCGTTGGTTTAATATAAGGTTAAAATAACGTGTTGCATATTTGATATAATTGATCTGCGCCGTATGATCATATAAAATTTATACCCTTTAGATGTGATCTACCCCTTAATAATTTTTTTATATAAGAAATTTAACGTAAATTTACAATTTCTTATAGTTCATAAAAAAATTGTAAAAGGCTATCAGCAAATTTTTAAATCTATAATATTACAGAAGATTTTAAAAAATTGCAAAATCTTTAAAAGTTAATAATAAAATACACAAACTTTCATAAGTAATATTGTTCAGCATGTTATTCCAGTCATAATGGTGGTTAAATCATCAAAATTGGTCCAATATTTGCTAAGATAGTCTAAAATACAATATTTTGAAATATTAGGCTATCTCAGTGAATATTAAACCAATTTTGATAATTTAACTACCATTATCAGACACAGGACATGTCCCTCTACAGGGGTTCAAATGTTGTCACATATAAATCAAATAAGTTGACTCACCCAAATTTATATATAAAATTTGACAAAAAAAACACTTTTTTTAATTTACTCAAGAAAGTAAATTAAAAAAAAGTGTTTTTTTTGTCAAATTTTATATATAAATTTGGGTAAGTCAACTCATTTGATTTATATATAACAACAACCAAGGGGACATGTCTCACATCTGTTATGACCGGAATAATATGCTAAACAACATTACTTATGAAAGTTTACATATTTTATTATTAACTTTCCAAGATTTTTGCAATTTTTTAAAATCTCCATAATATTATATACTAATTGTAAATCTTACATAATATTACAGGTTTAAAATTTGCTGATGTAGTATATATTTTTAATAGGCAATCTGCCAGTTACCTGGATAAAAAATTTTTTTTATATATAAATTTTACTATAAGTGCAAATACACAGCGCTTCTTTCTAAAACTTTTTTTTATACTAAGTAAATCACTCTTCAGCTTCTAATGAAAGTTGTAGAGCTCATAAAAATGTATTTAATACTATAAGGATATTAAAATTGGTCTGGTAGTTCTTGAGAAATCTTTAAAAAACTTCTTCATATATAAAATTTCTTTAAAAAAAATTAATTTTTTTAAAACAAATTTTATATATAAAAAAGAAGTTTTTTAAAGATTTCTCAAGAACTACTAGACCAATTTTAATATTCTTACAATAATAAATACATTTTGATGAGCTCTACAACTTTTGTTAGAAGCCGAAGAGTGATTTATTTAGTATAAAAAAAGTTTTAGATAGAAGTGCTATGTATTCACACTTATAGTAAAATTTATATATAAAAAAAAAAATTTTTATCCAGGTGACTGGCAGATTGCCTATTAATAATTTAAGAAAAAGTGCATTAAGTTTTGAATTATTTTATAGTATTAAAATGCTTTGCAAGTTTGCATCCTGCTATTGATTTATTTAAAATATTCGAACTCTTTTGAAATATTTTAAAACTAGAAAACCAAGCTGGATCAATAGATTTGTAAAATAGTTCGAAATAGTTTGATGAAGTTCAAATTCTGTACTACAAGATCAGATTAGATCTTTTGTTTATAATTAGATCTTCTATTTTGTTTTTTTTTACTTTTTTGTTTTTCTTTTTTGTTTTTGTTTATTTTTTTTGTTTTCGTTTGTTATTTTTTTATTTTTTTTTTATTTTATTTTTATTTCAGCACTTTACAAAAAAAACAACTAACTTTTCAAAACCTTGTACATGCCAACTATGACTTCTGACACTTTTAAGAATATACCTTCAGCAATTTCTAAATTTTTAAAAATGCTTCTTTAGAGAAATAGATAAAAGTTTTTACAAGTTTTTGCAAGTTTTTGCAAGCTTTTGCAAGTTCTTACAAGATTTCACTTTATTTATTTTTTTGTTTTATGTTTTTTTGTTTTTGTTTTTTTGGTTTATTTAAAATTTTTTATTAATTTATTTTATTTTGGCACTTTGCGAGAAAAACAAACAACTTTCAAAACATTGTACATGCCAACTACGACTTTCGACACTTTCAAAAACACATACTAGCAATTTTAAAATTTTTAAGAACACTTCTTTAGAGAAATAGACACAAGTTTTTGCAAGTTCTTGCAAGGTTTCGTTTCATTTATTTTTTTATTTCATGATATTTGGTTTTGTTTTTTTTGGTTTATTTTTAAAATTTTTTATTAATTTATTTTATTTTGCCACTTTGGAGAAAAACAAAACTTTTTAAAATATTGTGTATACCAACTATGACTTCCAACACTTTTAAGAACACACCTTCAGCAATTTTAAATTTTCAAGAATGCTTCTTTAAAGAAATGTGTGCAAGTTTTCGCAAGTTTTTGCTAGTTTTTGCAAGTTATTGCAAAGTATCGCTTTATTTTTTTTTGTTTTGTATTTTTTGTTTTTTTTTTGGTTTATTTTTAAAAATAGGCGCAAGTTTTTGCAAGTTTTTGCTAGTTTTTGCAAATTCTTGCAAGGTATCACTTTATTTTTTTTTTGTTTTGTTGTTTTTTGTTTTTTTTTTGTTTATTTTTAAAAATAGGCACAAGTTTTCACAAGTTTTTGCTAGTTTTTGCAAGTTCAAGATTTCACTTTATTTTTTTTTGTTTTATATTTTTTTGTTTTTTTTTGGTTTATTTTTAAAAATGGACACAAGTTTTTGCAAGTTATTGCAAAGAATTGCTTTATTTTTTTTTGGTTTATTTTTAAAAAATAGGTGCAAGTTTTGCAAGTTTTTGCAAGTTTTTGCAAGTTCTTGCAAGGTTTTACTTTATTTTTTTTTGTTTTGTGTTTTTTTGTTTTTTTTTTTTGGTTTATTTTTAAATTTATTTATTAATTTATTTTATTTCAGCACTTTGTGAAAAAAACAAAACTTTTCAAAACATTGCACATGCTAGCTATGACTTCTGGCACTTTCAAAAACACATCTTCAGCAATTTTAAAATTTTTAAGAATACTTCTTTAGAGAAATGGGTGCAAGTTTTTGCAAGTTTTTGCAAGTTTTTGCTAGTTTTTGCAAGTTCTTACAAGGTTTTGCTTTATTTTTTTTATTTCGTATTTTTTGGTTTTGTTTTTTGGTTTATTTTTAAATTCTTTTTTATTAATTTATTTTATTTCAGCACTTTGCAAGAAAAGCAACTTTTCAAAACCTTGCACATGCCAACTATGACTTCTAACACTTTCAAAAATGATAGAAAACAAAGAAGCAAAGATAATAGCTAACTATGGAGTGAGCGAAAATAAGTGTGTAGAGCTAGTTTTTTGTATATAGTAATAGATTAGATGCGATGAAGTACGAAAGTAGTTTAAAATATTTGTAATAATATAAAAATAATATATAATATATAATAAAGTATATAATATTAATTAAAAATGTATATTTAATAAATGTAAAATATAATATATAATAATAATAAATAAAAATAAAAACTTTATATTAAATTGTGAAATATTGTGAAATATTGCAAAATATTGTGAAACTCTGTAAAAAAGCATAATTATGTGAATATGTATATTGTTTATTTATTTTTAAAAAATTTTGAAAATTTGTAAAAATTTGCAAAATATTGCTAAACTATGCGAAAATATGTGAAAATATTACTCCTTCGATCCTGCAACCCCAAAGAGACATTTTTTTTATTTGATCTATTTTAAAATAATTCGCATTATATCATATGATTTTTGAAATATTACGACAATAACTTACATAAGATTACATATATATAATTCACTAATATACTATAGCATAAACTTATATAATTATTAACCCTACGTAATACTTCAAACTAATTGTAAGTTTTTTGCAAGTTTACACTCACATAAAAACTTGCGGAGGTTTATGCATATTTTTTTTTGCTGATGAAAGAAAACTAACTTTTGTTGGAAAGTCATCATAGTTTAATGTAATGGTTTGCCTAGAGGTCAACAGTTTTTTGTTTTGGGACTTCTAAATAAGTTGTGCATTCAACATGCAAGCCAAGAGCATTGGTAGACAAGATAACTGGCAGAAGGTGTGCACTCTTGGATACAAAATCTTGGTAAAGAGACTAGAGTCTTCTTTATTAACAAAGTTACCTAGGCTGTTTTTCCTAAAGGGGAATATAGAGGGAACAACAAAAGCAGATTTTTCTTAAGCCGCACTCTTTTACTTGGCCAAGTAGTTCCTACTTTACTCCTACTCACCTTCCTACCAGTCTTCCAAAATTTTTCAAAAAAAGTGGGAATTTGGCTTACCCCCTTTAAAAGATCGATATTGTTTATCTCCAAATCCAGATAGGCCGGTAGATGCCAACACGTATCCAAAAATGGATACAACGTTCAAGTGCTGGAATGGGTCCCAGTCAAAAAAGGAATCCCTGATTATAGCAGCAAGTGGCTTGAGATACGGGTTTACAGATGGTAGCAGCACCTGCTTGAGATACAAATTAGATTTATAGAAAATTTTGGAGTTGAGTTAGAAAGAAAAATAATAATAAGGCATAGTCTTATAGTAGAGATATACAGATGTTGCTTTTGTATATAATTTTTATCAACCTGGCATGGGTTATAATAGTGTACTTTTGTTTCTTATATATGTCAGGTTCATCTGTCTTTTTTTGCTTTTTTTATCCTTTTCCCTTTATATATAGATAGAGTTTAGAGTTTTTGTTTGATTCTTGTTTGTATATACCTTAAATTTCTGGTCTTTTGTAAATTTTGGCATTATTTTCTTTCCTTATACAAATATAAGAGATTTAATTATTTTGCCAGAATCTAGATGAAAAAAGTTTTAAAAGAAGATAGGTGATCTTGATAAGGTAGACAACAACCTGTCCATAATCAAAGAAGTACTTTTGTTAGTACAAAATTCAACAGATAGTATTGAATCCTAAGTGAGACTAATTGTTGTTATAGCGAGTTGCATTGGGCATTTTGTTTGGTGAGTTTTTTATTAGATTAGAATATTACACTATAAGAATGTAAGTATGTTGTACTTTCATTAATTAGTAGTTCCAATAAATAAAGACAAAATTATTTAAAAAAAATAAATAAATAAAATATATAAATCTAAATATAAAGATAAAATAAATTATTACAATATTTTAAAAATAATATTATATATTTTATTGCTTCTTGAAGATCTTTATTTATTTTATCATTATCATTATTATTATTAGTATTATTTTCATCATTATTACTATCACTATCATTATCACTATTATAATTATAATTATCATCTATTTCTTCTTCTGAATTTTCTTTTTCCAAATTATCTTTAGTTAATTCATCATTACTATTTTTTTTAATCTTTTTAAAAATGAATTTATATTTGAAAAAATTCCTTTTTTATAATATTGTAAACAATAATTACATGTTAAATGCATATTATTATAACAATCTGTATGATAAGCATGTCTATAATATATACTTTTCCAGTTAATTTAGTAAATGATTTTTTATATTTATCACATGTATTTTGTGTTGGTTTACATGATGTAAGATAACCTGTTGGAAGACATTTAAGCTCTATGGTTTTATTTAATCCTGCAATATAATATTTTTGGGTTTGTATTTTTTTACTCTTATTAAGGTTAAAATAAACTTTTGAAAATGTTTTATCAAAAATAAACTACTTTTTTTTGTTAAAAAATCTAAATTTTTTAAATTATATATATATGATTTTTTTGATTTAAAAATATCAAGTTGAGTTTTTTTATAATTATAATTTAATATATATACTTGTTGTTTAATTTCTTTAATAGTACTATGGGAATTAATATTTGTGTGAAGATAACTATGCATATTTTTTACAAAATAATTATTAAAATTTACCAAATAATTAGATAAAACTTCAGTTAATAGATAATATATATCACTCTAATAAAAATAATCTGAAAGAAATACTAAAGATACTTTGTTATAATTTTTTCTTTTCCATCTTAATTCAAATATCCATAATCTAAATATAGTTTTAATATATTGATCAAATGAACCTGATCTAAAGAGTACAGCATATATATCTAATGTTGCAGATATTAAATTATTTAAAATATCTAATAACATACAATATTCTATATCTTTACATATAGGATTAAATTTAGCTAAAATTATATGAGCTATAGCTTTCTACCCTTTATGAATTAATTCTAAAATTAAATTAATTCTCCATGGTCATAGATTTTTAGCTAATTTTTTTTTATCACCAAAAATAAAATAAAAAATTGTTCAAAAAAAGTATAATGAACAGAAAATACTGTTTCTTGAAAATTTAAAGAAACATGAAGTAGACCTAAAATTGGAATAAAATTTGTAACATTATTTGGTATTGAATTTGAATTTAATCTAGATTGTGTAATTATTTTTCTAATAAATAATTGTCCTAGCCAATCTGCAATAATTGGAATTATATTATTTTTTAAATCTTCTGATAATAAATTAATATTTGTAATCATTTCAAGAGCTTTTAAATAATCATTCATTGAATTTAAATTTAATTTTTTAACTATAACTACTCTTATATTTTTCATTGATCTTTCTTCTTTTTGTTCTTTAATTGCATTATCATATATATGTAAAGTTAATAAATCTATATGATTTTGGGAATTAAGTTAAAGATTTTGAGAAAATATTTATTCCATTTTACATTCATCATAGCTTTTATTAAAATGACCATTACATTTAGAAGTTAAATTAATTATAATTTTAGTTGGTTTAATATTTTCTGAATTAAAAAAAGAATAACTATTTAAATTTGCTAAAATTGGTTGTTGATTTTTAATTAGTTTAGTTACACATATTGCTAAATGATTTGCAGTTGAAAGTGTTGTAGTATTTGGCTGACGTAGTATATGAATATTATGAAAATCATCAATATTAACACAATGAAAATTATTTAACTAAATAAAATTAATAAATATATTAATATTTTATATTAAAAATTATTAAAAAAATAAATAATTTACTTATATAAGATACAAAATATTCATTAATTTTTATTAAATGATTATTTTTAATTTTTTTCTATAATTATATAATGTTTTAAATTTATAGTTATTCTAGCTTTCATAAGAAAATCAATTCTAGTTGTACTTAATCCACAAGATGATAAATATAAACTAAAATCTGGTTTAAATTTATTTACATTTTGACTACGTAATCTAGCTAAAAGATGACATTGATTAATAATTTGCTGTTGTTCTTTTATAGTTGACTCTCTCAGAATCGGTATGCATAGTGAACAGGTTTTGTATCAGGTTTGAGAGATTATCAGATTTGAAAACAGTTTTATATAGCTAGATTGGTAATTTATTATCAGTTTTAACAAGTTATCAGTTTTGACAGGATCAGTTTTGAGAGGGTCGACTGTATTTTGTTTTTTTCAGTTCTTCTTTTAGGAACTAATACATTAGTTATTTCATCTAAAAATCTATTTAATTGAGGTTCTTCTGTTTTAATTAATTGTTTAAAATCATTTGGATCTAATAAATAATCATTATTTTGTTTTTTATATTTATATAAAACTTTTGTTAATTGTAATTGATTAGAAAATAAATGCTGTTGTGCTATAAATAAATAATTATATTATAAATTAAAATATAATATTAATATAATAATAATATACAGTATAATATATAATATAATAATTAATATAGTAAATACTGTAATAAACTTACATATTTGAATTAAATTATTATCATTATATTGAATATTTTGATTAATAATTCTATTAATTAATTTATTAAAATTTGAGCAATCAATAAATATACTATCATTAACAATTTTTACTTTTATGCTTAAAAATTATTAAGATCTAAATTTATCTATTGGTGTTTTCATAAAGTTTTAAATAATTAATTAATGTATTAGAATTAGAATTATTTAAACTAATTTTACTATATTTAATAATATCACCTAAATCTATAAAAGTTCTTGGTGTTGTATTTTCAGATATTTGACTTGCAAATGCAACAAAATTAACAATATTCATATAATGTTCAAAACAAATTTGATCTTGATTGACATTTCTGAATTATCCTATGTAGTGTCCAGTGTCCGATGTGGCGCAGTTACAGTTGGGATTGAACAATGTCTGATAATATTGCATAGGGCAATTTGGACAGTTTTCCAATGTCCAATGCAAATTATCAATCAACCAATATAACTTAGAAATTATAGCAAATCAGTATGGTATAACAGCCCGATTTTTAAACAATATTATACTGTTTAGCTGTAATTCCTAACTCTAACGCTAATACTAACGTTGTACGGATTTTAATGTACTATATGGATCTGTTCACCTATAGTAATCATACTAGTCTGCGTAGTTTTGTTCCCTAATGCTAACATAGGTGACTCAATTTCATGTGATCAATCTATATCCCGTCCAATGTGTCCAATGTCCATTGCTTTGATAGGACAATTCGGACACTGGACATCGGACAGATTTCCATTGTCCGAATTCCATTCATGCCAATCTTGTAACTGTGTTATTCACCACATACCCACACAATAACTATAAAATATTTTGTTAAAAATAAATTTGGCGAGAATATTAAATCTATAAACTAATTTTTGTAAGGTTTCCCTCTGGAATAAAAGGTATTATAAATATTTTAGGCATTACTTTCACTAATATATAGAAGTTATTGTTATGATGGGAATATTTGCCATCAATCAAAATCAATATATTAAATTAATGATTAACTTGGGTTATATGTTCTGTTTTTAAGATATTGCAGAATATATACATAGCAAAGGCTTACTTTTTTAGACGCCGGAAGTTAAACTTGTGGTGGTCTTCCTGGATCACTTGGTAATTAATATATTTATTTGGCATTCAACTTGAATGTTTCAAAACATGTAATTAAACAAGTATTATAGACCACGAAGAAATAGACGCAAAAACATTCACAGAATGGGGTGTTGACTATTTAAAAAAGTATGATAATTGCTTCAGTCAAGGAAGACCTGAACAAGAACGTTATCAAGTAAGTTATAAAGTAATCAAGCTTTAATTGAATATTAATACTTATTATTATTGGTATTTAGAAAATGGGAAAGACACTTAAGAATGCAACTAAAGGCACTAATAAGACTATTTTTTATTCTATCTGTAAATGGGGATAATATAAGTTTACAAAATATTCTAGTAAACTTATTATGCTTGTCTGAATCTACAGAATACAGTACTAAATTTCATATTTTAATTTTTATATTAGACAAAGTGATCCTTGGTTATGGGGAACTGGTATCGGAAATAGGTAATTATCGTATATAATAATCTCAAAGCTTGTTACAATAATGTATATTGCAAATATAATAAATAATTATTTGCTTTTTAAATAATCGATTTAGTTGGAGAACTTCTGTTAATATTAATGGGTTCTGGACGTCGAGATTGTCAATAATAGATTCGCAAGTAAGAATTACACAATAAATAATTATTTGCTTTTTAAATAATCGATTTAGTTGGAGAACTTCTGTTAATATTAATGGGTTCTGGACGTCGAGATTGTCAATAATAGATTCGCAAGTAAGAATTACACAATATGGAGGGCCAGGAGGTTGGAATGATCCTGATATGCTTGCAGTAGGTTTTGATGTAATACCTCCCATTGAACAAATAACACATTATGCATTTTGGGCTGCTCTGAAGGTCTCTTTAATACTTGGATGTGATGTGGGTTTTATTTTATCAATTTTTTTGATTTATGATTATTTGATAAAAATGACAGCAATAATTCTAAATTATTTCCAAATTATATTATTGCTTAATAACGTCAATGATGCATCAAAAGCATTAATATTAAATAAAGATATAATTTCTGTAAATGTAAGTTTATCCCTTATTATTAGGACTATTCTTTGTTTCTCATCAAATATCTTAAAAAATTCGTGTGTTACGTTTGGTTTAATTCTAAAAATAGCAAGATACTCTTGGGCAATCTATATGTCAGGTTTACTATAAAACTTAACTTCTTTTGATATTTGGACCGGACCTCTTACTGATGGATATGTTGCACGTTTGTATCAAAAACTTCATGCTTTATTAACCAAATAATTAAACCTTAAATTTAATTAATTTTTATTATTTTAGTTTTATTTAATCGTGGAATAAATTTAATTAATATTACATTGGATATTCATAAACATTGCTATCTTACAGGTGAAATTAAGGTTTGGGATCTTGTAAACCAACAATCTAAAAGAAACTTTACAAATACGTATGTTAACATATTAAAATAACAATACTTTTATTGATTTTTTTATTAATGCTTACGCTAACTAAATAGATCATTCACCTTTTCAAAATACTGCAGTAAATATTTCAGAGCATGGAGTAGAATTTAAAAAACTTACTGGCGGAACCAAAACTAGCTCTGCTAGACCATGTCTTGATTATTCTTTGCGGAAACATTAAAAATTAATAATACAATTAGTATATAATTTCTAAATAATTTCATCAAATTTTAAGCTTGTTTTCTTATTATTTATTATAAGACATAAATAACTATTTAATAATAGATATCTCGTTACATGCTAAAATAAATAAAATAAAATTAAGATATATTAAATACTATAATAACTATTAAATTAAAATAAGTGAATGGAAATAACCTGCACTCAAAAAATAAATCAAGATTAATAAGAAAAGTAATATACTTGGATCGAAACGAGCGAATATTTCGATAGGCTAATTCAATGTTTTCATCGAGACAATGTCACTTGAACTGTTAAACTATATTTTTACTAATTAAAATTTGGATTCCGATCTATTAACATAGATGCTTGAGAGCATCCTAAATCAAGAAATTAGAAATAAAGGATGTCTGGGCCTCTATCACTTGTTGATTGGAATGATAAATACCTTTGGTCGGTCAAATGAATTTCCGCTAATAAATTTTCTTTCTGATGTATTAAACTTTCATTAAGTGTTTTATTCATTGGAATAATCAATATAATTGATTCGTTAAACTATTTTTTTACTAATAAAAATTTGTCCTCAGACCCATTCAGACGGGTTGATTAAAGTTCTTGAGAACACCCTAAATAGTATACAAAAAATATGTGCTAATAATGAAAATCCATAATAAAAAGTATGAAAACGTTTGAGCAATACTTTATTCACTTTAATAGTTATAAAGTTTTATAATTCAGGTAAAAGTTTTTTGACTGAAATGGTAACTGGCTGATTATTTTACTGTTTAAAATTTTCTTTATGTAATAAACTATCTTATCTTAATGACAAGCTCACTAATTTCTCCTCACACTTCCATTGGATGAATACAAATAACGTTTTCATTGGATAAAACCAATTACATCACTAATTAGAGTGGCTAAAAATTTCGCGATGATTACATTTTGATTAAAATAATTTTTTTTCGCTGTTTAATACTAACGTTCTGCTCTTTTTGAGTTTTTTTTTAATAAAATAGTCCTTTCGCAGTTTAATACTAACATTATGCTCTTTTGAGTTTTAGCGCTTCAAATTTTTTTAATAACCAATTTTATCGAATATTACTGTCACGGAGTAACCTAAACTACCGTGTACTTGCGGGTCTTTACTACCAAACTTCACTCGCTTGGCTAATTATGCGATGACTGGAGTATCGTACCAGATACTACCACCACCAATACAATATCACTAAGATACAGTTTATTCACTAAGAACAAAGTTTATTGTTTAGACGTTTCTTTATTATTAAAGACTTTTCTATTCGTCTCTCTAATCTAAACTAACTAATTACTAAAGACCATTGTTCTATTTATACAACATGATGATCGATCATGCAACGCGTAAGTTACACAAACCTGATCCTGATCCCGTGCTACTAAACACGTGTCTACGAAATCTACCATGTCACAAATGTTCTTTCGGCTTATTGTGTGATTCATTTACGTAAATAGACTTCTATTAAAAAAAATCGTTTATCGAATACATTATTAATAATAATTCAATTTTATTAAATGTTAATAGCTCACCGAGATACCTCCGGAAAATCAAGAGTATACACCACGCCCTCTCCCTCTTCCGCGAACTTTTCCTTTAGTAGCCTCTTTCGTTTGTTCACTATTCGTCTTATCGTCTGGCACTTTAGACAAAAATTTATCGAATGTTACAATTTCAGGCCGGCCTGGTGTAAATCCAGTACTATATTTTGATGATGGATTTATGATGTGATGTTGTCCTTTTTTTTCAAGCTTTTGATATTTTTTAATTTTTCGAATTATATTAAACCGCAAACACAAAAGTGTGCGGATGAGTCTCGGAGCATGTTCTAGTTCGAAGGGCGAAGTTGGTATTGTAAGATTAGGAACGGTGAAAGGCGAAAATAAATATAATCCAGGTCCAATAAAGATCATTTGTCCAAGTTCAAGGTTATTCTCTGTAAATAGTAATATTGACATTAAAAAATAATAAATACTTAATGTTAAAGTATTTTAAAGTAACTTACCAAATCCTTGAGCTAAAAAAACGCCCAAAGATTCACATGTTTCCCATGTCGGAAACTTTGTTCCCGTTATGAATTTATTGAGTGCAAAAATGCCCTCCTTCATTAATTTTTTTCTATCATCATTATATTTATCCAGATCTGGATTATCCGGATCACCGGATACTTCGAGTATAAACACGGGGATTTGTTTAGGCCTTTCGAACAACTCAGCAACACCATCAGCTCTATAATCAACATTTTGTAAGTCAAATTTCGTAGATATCTGACGTTCGCAAGAATAATATTTTATGGAACTAATATAACTGAATGTCATAAAAAACAAATATGAGAGGACATGAGCGGTCCAAGTTCTTTCAGTTGTATTTATGAAAATTCTATCCATTTTAGAAATTGCACTTAAATGCCTTGAAATACTGCTAATTATATGGATTTCTGGATATATTGATTCGTCATATTCTTTGATTAGAATTGGAAGCGTATAGGATAAATGTTTAAACTTTGTGGTTAATCCATTCAAGTTTTGAATATCTTTTTCGATTTTTAAAACCATCTCATCGTCGATGTTGAAATCTGTCTCTTCTTCCTCTTCATTGTCCGAATAAGGTACAATTTTATCGAACAATTTCAAATATTGGAGCGCCTTTTCACTTAAAGATTTGTTCTCATCAACCAATGCCATCCTGTAGGATAACAATTTCAACTCATCTTCATTCAAAAGATCATGCGTTTGCTTTAATATTTCCTTATTTCCTAAGTCGATTACGTAGTAACCAGCACTTGATTCATGAGTTTGCCAAATCGTTTTAAGTTTACTATAATACTCTGGGAATTGGACATCTCTAAATATATTAGATGCTTCTATAACTGAATTTAATGTTTCCTCTTGAACAATAACTACATCAGTCTCTTGTGCCACTGTTTCTTTCTCTTTTTCAGTCGTACATAAACGTTTTTTTGAAGAACCATCACCAATCTTATTTTCCAGCGTACTTGTAAACCCTTCTCTTATTAGTTGATCTTGTTGCGAAGTTATTTTTAAAACTGCAGTGGCATGTTCCTCCTAAAAAAAAAAATAAAAAATAAAAAAAAGAACAAAATGCATACTATATATGCAGCTTATTAACAAATAATTCCTCATACCAGGACAGTTGTACGCTCTGATATAGCTGTATATTTTCGTTTTTGCATTGTAAAACTCTCCCAGAATTCTGTAACTATCGGCGATCTTTTTTCCCTCTATAAATAGACGTTTAGTAAGCGAAATAATACAGGTGATCCTCGCTGAACTATAAACTAAATATTCCTTATTAATATTACTATCAACATGAGCTTAAAAAAAATCAAAATGAGTTGAGGATCACCTGTACGAGCTTAATTGTGTAGTTCAATTGGAAGGATGAAACCACCCCGGGCCGCAACCCAAACATCTCCCAACTGCCATCAGGAGTGCTGGGTGATTGAACACAGGCCGCAACCCCATCTAAAGAACATGTTATTTCTTAGACTCATCCACTTCCAATCGATAGAAAATCCATTCGTACAGGACGAAACCACCCCAAGCCGCAACTTAAACACCTCCCAACTGCCATCAGGAGTGCTGGGTGATTGAACGCAGGCCGCAACCCCATCCAAAGAGCATGTTACCCTTCAGACCCGTCCACTGCCAATAGAATGATCTTTTCTACTACATTTTATAGTGAACAAACGTACTCACTTGGAATGATTCGAGTGCTTTAATAGATTGAGCAAGTAAATTCGTAGGCACTTCCTTCCAGCTAAGTATCTTTGTTAGACTGTAGGTATACCGATCGTGTTCCTCTGCCTTATTATACGTAAAATCGGTGCATTTCTGGCGGTAACGTAAAAAACTAATGAGGGTCCATTCACATTGTGTTATATAATATTCGGAATCGTATAATTGGATTTCTAGTAAGAAAAAGAAGCGTATAGTTACTGACAAGGTAAAAATAGAACGTGCTAAGAGCATAAACTTACGATCTTTTATTTTGTCTAACGAATCCTTTTCTTCAAAAGACATATGTAACGGTTATACAGTATTTTTTCATTTTGCAAAGTAAGGTTGTTAAAGCAAAATTTCCAGTCAGATGATCGACGGCCAATCAAAATAATCAAAATAATGATTTTGGTATTACGAATTTATGGCCCCTTTCGTGTCTGATTTACGTCATACGTGTACGATAGGTATTGTTAATTTATCAAAGTAACAAATTTGGTCTAGGTATTATGTTGTGATAATGCAATATCTTATATTGAAAATTTTTAAATTTTATTATCTGTCCATTATGAATCAGGTGAATAAATTATTAACGTTAATAAAAATACAGTGTAAAGTAAAATTTCAAAATCGTTATTGTAAAAGCGATGAACCCTCTTCAATTTCAATTGCTTACGGAATCTTTAGATTCAGACCAGGTTGAATCTGAATCTGATGTCGATATTTGATTTATGTTATGATGAAAATCTTGTTATGTCCATTATTTCTAAACAATCCATCTCGAATTATAAACGTTCATCCAAAATCAAACCACTGGTACTCTAATATTTTGTTTAATTATGAGAACTTCGGTTTCATCGAACTTTGAGAATGAAACCATCAACATTTTGGATGATTGTTAATAAAATTCAAACCCATGAATAATCCACAAAGAAAGCAAAATGCAGTAGAAAAACAGCTTGCAGTAGTTTTATATAGATTAGGTGGAAAGGCGACAATTTGGGATATTGTTCTAAATTCGGAATTGCAGAAGGTACTGTTCCATTATTCACGTCTAGGGTTATTAAGGCTTTAAAAGATTTAAAAAAAGATGTTATCTGGCCACGTGGTGATTATCGACAAAAGGTTCATAAAGGTTTTGAGGAGATACATGGTTTTCCAAATGTAATTGGCGCATTAGATGGATCTCATATGAATTTACTCGAAGCTTCTAGTAAATAAATAAAGATGTTTACTATACACGAAAACGTCATTATGCAATTCACCTTCAAGCTGTCGTAGATCATCAAGGAATATTTATAAACTATGATCTTGGCTACCCTGCATCAGTTCACGATGCCAAAGTATTTCGAAATTCTAGTTTATATCATTGCAGGAATCAGCTTTTTGAAGAAACTGATTATGTATTAGCTGATTCTGCATATCCAATTTCATTAAATATAATTCCTTCATTTAAGGATCCCTCGGGCTTAGATAAAAATCGGAAAATTGCATTCAATCAAAAGCATAGCAAATCTCGAGTTGTAGTAGAGCAAGCATTCGGTCGATTGAAAAGTAGATTTCGGTTATTGCAAGAGCTAAGAACACTTTAATAGAAATTTCATTAATTTTATATAATCTCTTAGAAAAAAATGAAGATGAGTGGGAGGAACCTTCAGAGCAAATATCAATGCATCGAATACAATTTAATGATATTATTACACGAAGAGGTCAGGCAATTAAAGAAGCAGGAAATATTAAAAGACAGAATTTAATAGATATTATGTTAAGTTAATATATTATTGTTTTATATATGTTTTAAAATTTTATATATTCGAACTTACTTTTTCTTTAGTTTTCTTTATTTTTAGGGACCTGATATTTCCACACCCATTTTTTTTATTTCCACACCATGTAGATCACTTCGATAGAAGGTATTTCGGCAACCACATAACCAAATTCGATGAATTTTTTTTTTATTTGATTTCTACAGTTCTGTAGAATCCGAATAAAAATTAGTTCATCGAATTTGGTTGGATAGATATTGAGATACCTTCGATCAAAGTTTTGGAAAATTTTAACCGTCTATTAAAATCTTAGTCGCGGCAATGACATTGATCGAAGGTATCTTGACAACCATCCAACCAAATTCAACAAATTTTTTTATTTGAATTTTATAGATCCGTAGAATTCAAATAAAAAAAAGCTTATCAAATTTGGTTAGGTAGTTGCCGAGATATCTTCGATCAATCAAAATATTAGCTTCGATATATGTTTTTTTTCGACTTTGATCGAAAATACCTCAACAATAATCCAACCAAATTCGATGAGCTTTTTTTTATTCGGATTCTACATAAATGTAGAACTCAAATAAAAAAAAAATTCATCGAGTTTGGTTATGTAGTTGCCGAAATACTTTCTATCGAAGTTTTAAAAAAAGTGTAATCTACATGGGGGTGTGGAAATAAAAAAAACGGGTGTGGAAATATCAGGTCCCTATTTTTATTATTTATACTTTTGTCAAGAGATAATTGTAACTAATTAAATAATAAAGGTATATTAAATTACCAGAATGTATACGAAGTTTATTTCTGTGAGTATGAAATTTAATTCTGGTCACTTTAATGATTGTTTTCAAGAGATCATATATATTCTTTGCAACATCTATTACTCTAAGTTACTATATACAAGACCCGGAACCCAGGACTGTTATATTTTACCAGTTTTCCATATAATAGACCCAGATATAGTACATAGCCGAGAGTTTATATTGTGAAAAGAAGAATCTTAAGATGTATACGAATAATTATAATATGTGGCTTAGATATTCGAATAGGCTTGTATTTGATTAATGAGGATTCTGTAGTTTGCAGCATCCAACGATTATCAATATTTACTTGAACGAAAAAAAGAACTAATATCGATATGTCTTATTTTTTTTTATGATATACCGATATATATATACTATCTCTAACTATAAATCAATTACATCATTTACGTATCATAATTTAACAGTTAATGATATTTAACTACTACTACATATTTTTGTTATTATTAATGTTACATTTACATTATTTATATTAATTACCTAAATGATCCATATGATCACGAGATCTAAACGAAAGAACCAACGTAAAAACGATATTATTATGTTTTTTTTTACTTTATGAGCACTATTAATTCTTCTCAATTCAATTTCAGTTTTCAATTGTTATGCCTAGCAGAAACATGGAAATTATGTGATTTGCGTGATTAAACCAAATCGCATAATTTTGGCCGTTCTCAAGCATCTCACTAGTACCTCACTCAATGGATTGGACGTAAATTTCTAATTAGTCGGAAATTAAATCAATCAATCAAGCGAGTTACCAATTCGATCAACAAATCAACGAGATACAACCCACCTTTTTTCTCCAAAAATTGCCATTGATAAAAGATCGCTCAAGCACTACTTTTTACATTTTAACATATCAAATATAATAAACAATGAATTCACAACAAATTTCACAACAATTTCTAACCGGTCTAAAAAAATAGCCACTTTATTTTTAATGCTCGAAGCTTTTAAAACAAATAATCGACACCTTGATATGAA